GTGGCAGTACATCCGTCGATTTTGACCTCAAACGATTTTCTCCGTTTTCTCCACCTACTGTCATTCATTCACTGGCAGTGGAGCCACCATCTAAAATTCCGGTCCTTGATCTTGTCCTTGCCTTTTTGTCGTACTGAGGGTGTTCCATCCCTTCAGCATTTGTTACAACAAGAAGTGACTGATCCTTCATAATTTACAAGGATTGCCATTACCTAGTCTCGATTCCCACATTCGTCTGTCTCGTGTGATTTTTAGGTCCACACTACCGTATCCACTTCTTTATTCACTGTCTCATCTGAGCCGACGTCTTTCAATTTGGCGCTTGCAACCTCTTGGGTACCAATCCGTCATTGCTGAACTCCATCGGCATCCGTCAGTAGTGCACTGTGACCTGTCCATTGTCGTTTTCTTTCTCTTGAAACTAATGCAACATCCTTCATTCCTATTTCTTCCTTCTGGAGCTTGTCCTTGGTGGAAATTCATGGCATCCTTCTTTCCATAGCCGGCTGCTGCACCCTTAACAGTTCTTCGCCTTTTTTCGTTAATGCTCAGATCTCACAACTTTTGGAACTGCTGACACTACAGCTCTTGCATAAAATGTTTTTCTAAACATAAATGTTTGTATTTCATGCAAACGTACAGATTTGTCAAATCTGACTAAAGTAGTTTTTTATTACATTTCACATATCTATAAGATCTAAACTCCTCCCATCTGTAGCAGATCATATATCAAAGTTAAAGAGGGCAGCGATGACAGTCGTAAATTACACATGGTCATAGAACGAACCCCATAGGTCGTAGCGAGTCCTGACAGAATGGTTCGTGTATTTTAAGGCAAGCCTCTCTAAAAAAGAATATTATTGTCGATTATCAAATGAAGGGTTAAGGGGTCTTAATTGTCAGAGAGAAACTATGCTGTGAACGTAACACGTTTATTATCATGTAATGTTTACGATTCAAATTTAAGTTTTAATGATAGTTAGGGCATGGTTTAAACCACGTGTCTATGTTCCGGATCATGATTGAATGTTTTTAAGATCTGAGGATCGTTGACATCATTTTTGCAGTTTTGTTTCATAACATCCTCCGACTGTCGGGATATTGTTTTGTGTAATTTATGTGCGGAGTAAAC